ATGGGTTTGTCTTATGAGTGAAAAGTCACACACGAGGACACGTAGACAACGTAAGTTTTTTGAGGAGGGGATGAAGGTTAAAACAGAATTGTCAAAATTGTGTTATGATTTTTACCTTAGTCAAATGCTGACAGTTAAGGCTGCGTTTCACCAGATTCATTTAAGTGAAAATTACTTTAATTTTCGAATTTTTGGTTTCACCAATCAATTTTAATTTGTTTTTAATTTTGATTTAAGTGGCCTATGCTCTACACTTAAATAAAAGTTAAATCAGAATAACCACACTCAGAGATGTTACAGGTTTAATCAGCTGATCAATATACACACACCGCAATTTTCNATTGCAAGCGAATGTACGCTGTCGTTGTTTTAAGTACATTTCTTGATAAATTTGAAGTGGAATTTTTGTAATATTTTCAGTCTTGTACAAAAATTTTAGTGAACAGACGTGTTGTGCGATACTATTTTCAGCACAAACGGGATTTTACAAGATATGCATTTGCGTATGGAAATGTTACTTGTTTGTATGTCCCCGTATACTAAAATGTATCAGAAAAGTAGCATTTACATATGGGGATACATATCTTGTAAGAATGCTTTAATACTGTTCCATTAATGCATTTTTGTATGTTTCAAACATTAATACAGCCATATACATACATCAGTAGTACAAGTGTGTGATTGATGAAATGAAGGTTCATTTATACTGGCATGTATACACTGCAGCAAGCTCATGCCACCAACAGCGATGTCGTATTCATAAAATTTCTACTGGGTACTTTGAAAATAAAACAAGCGAATTTTCTACAGAAAAACAAATGGGTTTGTCTTATGAGTGAAAAGTCACACACGAGGACACGTAGACAACGTAAGTTTTTTGAGGAGGGGATGAAGGTTAAAACAGAATTGTCAAAATTGTGTTATGATTTTTACCTTAGTCAAATGCTGACAGTTAAGGCTGCGTTTCACCAGATTCATTTAAGTGAAAATTACTTTAATTTTCGAATTTTTGGTTTCACCAATCAATTTTAATTTGTTTTTAATTTTGATTTAAGTGGCCTATGCTCTACACTTAAATAAAAGTTAAATCAGAATAACCACACTCAGAGATGTTACAGGTTTAATCAGCTGATCAATATACACACACCGCAATTTTCTGTATCTGCTGCTTACTTGTATACCAGCCCTGCTTTTACAACACAGCGTGCCAAGGCTTTCAAAAGCTCTCAGTACAAATTAAAGCTTTCACTAGCCAAGTCTGTTTTACAACCACTTTTTAATCACTTAAATAAAGAGATTATTGAAACTGAAAATAATTTAAATGGGAATAAAAAAAAAAATTTAATTAAAGTTAATTTCCACTTAAATGAGTGTGAAGAAACGCAGCTTAAGTGCAGTCAAAATTCGAAAATATGATAAGTCTAAGTTTAAAGCGTTAAAATCGCCAATTTTCACGATTTAAAAATCGGAGACTAAAACTTGGCCGCGTCCTAAACGGCGATGTAAATATATTAAGTCGGTGTAAAAAAACATAATTTTTAGCTAAATCACAATTCAGCGACTTTAATTCGCGTTTTAAATTTAAGTTCTCGTCAAAAAACTGGGCAATAGTAGCGTAAAATACGATTTTAGGATATTTAAAATATAATTAATATAATGACATGTATAGCAAAATATGTGATGTTTAGCAAAACTAATACGCAAGCTTAATAATTTAGGTATTCTTTAACCTAGCTGAGCAATATGAACGCAACGATATGCACATTGAAGCCCTCAACACCTACAGTATCATGACTAAGAATAAAATGTTTCCTCACGTAAATCAGTTAAAGTTAAACATGGGTAATATATACTATAAGATGGGAATAATAACGAAAGCTATTAAAATGTATCGTATGGCGCTTGATTCGGTTCCCAACAATCTAAAGCAACTTCGACTTAAAATAACCCATAATATTGGCATTATTTTTGTACGGATGGGGCAATATGTCGATGCGGCATCTAGCTTTGAGTTCATAATGTCGGAACATGCTGACATTCGTAGTGCCATCCACTTGATTCTGTGTTACTATGCTATGGGTGATGTCGAAAAGATGAAGAGTGCATTTCGAATTATGTGTGACATTCAACCAACTGAGACCGAAAATGATTTGGAGTTGGAAACCAATATAATTAGAATCCAGCAACATGACTATGAGGATAGTGCGACTGCAGATAAAAACGAGTTGAAGGGATATCTATCAGATTTCGAACAAAACATAACTACTCCTAATGAACAGTCTCTTAATAGAAAACAAAGTACGAGTATTGAGCTTAAAGAAAGTTTGCCTAAGACACAAAATAATGATGATCCAGATAGGAAACGTCACATAACAAAAGCACTCAAACGGGATGAGCTTTCCATCTACATACAACAACAGCGGAATAAGGATAAACGGGCGATTACTATGGTTGTGGACCTAATATCGCCAATCATTGAGGAAAATTACAATGATGGTAAGTATATAACCTAGGACCGTTTTCTCGTCTAACCTTTAGATTATGGGCCACTTTATCGTCTCGATACACGAGTTTTCGTTTTCTAATCAGCATATTAATATTTCGAATCGATAAGCTGGTCCTCACCTGATGTAGCATTTAAAAATTTGTACCCAACTTTGGTTTTGATGGTGATTCAGATGTATTAGCTATTTGAACCAAGGTTTTGTTTTGGCTAACAGCTGCTTTTGCTGCTTCTTTGCTTATGTGCCATTGCCAACATTGAAATTTTATGAATAATGTAGGGAATTTTTACTTTGGCGTTGCCGTAGTTTCGGAATAAAAAATTTTATTTTACCGGTGACATGAGAAAACGAAAATACTTAGCGCGCGCATGAGGAACAATTTATTTGCCCTGTTAGTAAAACCAACTTTACTGCTTACATGATAAAACAGCCCTTAGTAGTTCAAATAAAACTACTTTCAATTATATATCCTACTCATTAGACGTGTTACTTTATTTTACATATTTAGAAAATCGCAACTGTTTAAACCGTTGTACGCCAGTTGTTGATTCAAAACAGAAATTGGAAAATATACCAACAAGTACGCGAACGAAAAATTAGCAAAAACCTGCAAATTTTTAGTACAGCTGATCGAAATTTTGTGTACAGACAAACGCATGAAACTGAAAACATGGAAATAATTTAAGGTTAAATTAGTGGTGACATACCATAACGCCGTAGCCATAACCATTGCCATAACCGTAACCACATTAACTATCATCGATTATAGGCAGGGTTCGGAAGTATTTATATATGAACATTCGCGTACATACATTAGATTTTATACGCGAACGTGAACGTATCAAATATTCTCTATTGATTCTCCTTTGCAAACAAGAAGCATAAAAGAAGTCCAGATCGTTCGCGTTCGCGAAAAAATTTTCGCTGTTGTTCGTACGCGTATGCATTGGTTGACCAAACAGCATGCGTTCATATGTGTACTTAAATATAATTGGCATCGACGCCTTCGCGAAAGTTAACTTATGAACGAGAACCATAAGGCTACCTGCACACTTGTCGTCCAATCATAGTTGCGACATCGTCTCGCCCTGAAATTTTGAGCCGAGCACATGCATTTCAAAAGAGATCTGCACACTTGTCGTTAGCGGCTAGTTACCGCCAAATCGTAGAAGATGTAGAAACGGATTAGTACGGTACTGTCGTTTGCTAATCGTTATGCACGCATTGTTTGTTTACATCTTATGGGGAAAAATTAGTGAATAAGTTAATATTTGCATTAAAATTGCATAAAACACACTCTTTGGCATAAAATCTGTCGAAATTATTAAAAAGTGGATAATTGCAAAAAAATTCAATAAATATTAGCGTTTCAACTATAAAATATGACGAAATTGTAAAAAGTCTCTGTGTGCATGCACAAAATACATTTCAGGAAAAGAAAAGAGGAGATATTACTGAAAAATGATGTCTAGAATTGTTGCAGCACAGTCCATATTTTAAAAATTACAGGTTTTTGTAAATATTTCGCGAAAATATCAACCAGAAAAACAGGAAATACCTGCTCCATGTCAATTTTTAGACGCCAAATGAATTGAAATATCACGACCGAGTGTGCGAAAATGTAGTCATCAATAGTTTGGCCACTAAATTAACATACTAGCGGAAGATAAATCAAAATTTATATATCAATAATTGCATTAAAAACTATATTTTTTCCCCGAATTTGATTAAAAAAGTAATTGAATCACATAATTTTGATTATTTAGAACAGCAGACGACAGACACGCGCGAAAAGTTGAGAGTTGGCCATTTTTTTGCATTGTGTTGGCGTTGGCGTTGCCCAACTTCGGATATGTGGAGACTTTCATATAAAAGCATGTATTCATAGTCAGCTGTCGAAGCGACGCCAAAGCCAACGCAGCGCCAAAGTCAGGCGCCTTTAAAGGCCTTTAATGCTGCGTCAAACATTCGCGGAAAGTTGGTGTGGCTCATATATGTAATTAGGGTTCGAACGATACTATCGATATTGAGTAAGCATCGATACTGAGGGTATAAAAATGAGTACTTTACCAGATAAGGTGGTGATTTTACTCCATACTTTGCAAAGTACTCGTAGTATCGAATACTTTTTAAAAAACCAACTTTAAATTTTTTCTTTCATTCTCAACCCAATTTTCTTTGCTTATATGGATTACTATCATTCAATTTTGTCTATCGCTTAAAATAAACTGAAATTTCGTGTAGTCTGTTGCATAACATAAACCAATTTAATGGGTTTAGCTTCCAACATAAAGGAGATATATCGAAAAACTGGTATATGAACAATCTGTGGTATGGAGGCAATAAATAGGTTATAGCGACCGGACCTTTGTTCATTTTACTGTAAATTTTCTATTGATAATGAGTGAAAATAGTGCGAAATTAATGTTTCTAGCTGCATAAATGGACAATTTATAACAAAAAATCTCATATCTGAACAATCAGTTGTATGGAGGCTATAGGTTATAGCGACCAAATCTTCACCATTTTCACTGTATTCTTTTGATAATGGGTGGAAATAGAGCGAAATTTCATATTCCCAGCTGCATAAATGGAGGAGTTATAACGAAAATTCTCATATCTGAACAATCAGTTGTATGGGAGATATATGTTATAGTCACCCGATCTTTGCAATTTTCACTGTGAGTATTCTGTTAGTAATGAGTAGAACGGTGCGAAATTACATGTTCCTAGCTGCATAAATGGAGGAGCTATGGCAAAAAATCTCATATCTGAATAATCAGTTGTATGGAGGCTATAGGTTATAGCAACCCGATCTTCCCCATTTTCACTGAAAGTATTCTTTTGATAATGAGGGACAACAGTGCAAAATTTCATGTTACTATGGGACTATAGGTTACAGTGACCCGATCTTTGTAATTTTCACTCTAAGTTTTCTGTTGAAAATGGGTGGAAGTATTGCAAAATTTCATGCTCTTAGCTGCATAAATGGAGGAGTTATAACGAAAAGTCTCATATCCGAACAATCAGTTGTATGGGAGCTATATGTTATAGTGGTCCGATTGTTCCGGTTCCGACACATGATTAATACAATATAAAAATACACCCACNAAAAATCTCATATCTGAACAATCAGTTGTATGGGAGCTATATGTTATAGTGGTCCGATTCTTCCGGTTCCGACAAATGATTAATACATTATAAAAATACACCCACATACCAAATTTCATACGGATATCTCGAAAACTGAGAGACTAGATTGCATACAAGCAGACGGACAGACAGACAGACCGACANCGCATGTAATAGGCCTGATTTTTAATTGAAGAGTAATATATGTATGTATGTGGGTATATTAATAACGACCGATTAAAATCGATCTCAAATTTGTACTTTCGCTGTAGAAATTTTAGGTCTATGTTATGTATGTAGTTTGAATATTGTCAATTAAATCTAATGCTTTGTATTTCATGCGCTCCACGTTTTTCGTTTTCAATCTCATAAATTGTTTATAATGACTTTTGCTAAAATTTCAAAATCAAAAGTTATCAAAACAAATTCTATGGGACTGAGATATATTATTATTTTAAAACGCTTTTATCAACTTGCAATGTTGTATGTCCAGACCGCTTTGAATGTTGTATGTCCAGACCACCATTTATACTAGCTGCATTTTTTTGTAAGCGAGCGACAAAAGAATGCTCAACTCGGGTAAAATTTCCTTTTAGCTATTTAAGTAACCCTGTTGGTAGTTGGCAAGAAAATGTGATTAGTTTAACGGGATTTAGACCAATTTAAATGAGTAATTATGCGAGGTATTTGGGTAATATATATACTCTTTTAAAATATGTCACGTATAAAAGGAAGCCAAAATTTCCCTCTCCACTTTCCCATTAACAATTCACAATAGAGCGTAATTTTTAACTGCGTATTTTTTAACCGACCTGGCTGAGCTTGGATAAATAGCCGAGTTTGTGTAGATATCAACCTCGTTGTAGGCATCATATCAAGGAGATACAATTAGAAGACTCTAGATGTCGCCCCGCCAGAAGAAGTTAAATATTACGCCTAAACATGATTCAATAACACTGTGGAACAAATTCAGGTTAGCAAAAGTTAGGTCGATTCTGATAGTGAGGGATGAAAATAGAGGCTAAATTAGAAGACCCGTATCGCGGCGTTTGTTTGTGTTAGTTCGAATTTTTTTTTAATCGACCTTCGAACTTTGCAGTCAAATGCCGATTTTCAGCATATTGTTTATATGGTTTTTTGGCTATAACTCGTCGACTAATTGATATTTTTTCAACCTGTTAAGGCCAAATTATTGCTAGAGACCTGTGCAACAATTAAAATTAAAAAAAAAAATGATTTAGAAAATTTTTGTAGTGCTTATGAAGCAAAATGTTGGAAATATTTTTTTCATGCTTTTAGAACATATTTTCCACAAAACTAAGTGTTTAGGCCCATACCTAAATATGCTGCACCACCCTAATGCGCGTTAAATAATTTTGTATCTGAGTGCACACACACATATATAAGATACGGCTAACATTCCAGCCGTTAACAATATGCCCCGCCGTACGGTAACTGAGTTGAGGGGAAACTCAACGAAGGTTACTGTTCGGCGGGCTCAAACCCTTTTTCGTTTGTTGGCACTCCTTCACTTCCTTGAAGACCAGCATAGCGACTGCCAGCCACCACACCACGTCAGTAAGGTAATATCATCAAGCTATTAGCAAAATCTTTATTTAAATTCACACTGTTGTATTACACATTTTTCTCCATAAATAAAGCAAACATTTGTTATTATTGTTAAGAATTACACACTAATACGCTGTTGTTTTTTTCCACTTTATCTTCTTTACGTGCGAGCGCCTTACAATTCCAAAGACGCCGGCGCGTAAATATTGGTCCTTCGAGCCGGATTAGTGGTGTTAAATTGTGAAATTTGTCACACCTTTTTAGCCTGTGCTCATGGCTATGGCACATTTT